AGAGAAACATTCCAAAGTGGGAGGACAAAAACCTGACACCAGAAAGTGAAAGACTAGAAATTCATTTCACAGAGCTACAAGAATTAAATCATAAGCACATTAAAACAATGAGGTATTCTTTTTTAAAAACAATTTCAAAGGTTCTTATGAGAAGAAAAGGAAGGAAAGGAAGACATAAACAAATTGTATTGCTTCAAACTATTAACCGAGATCCCGGGACATATTTACTGTCTGTCCATACATTGCTTTCCCCAAAATTGTTCAGGCCCTTCTTGCACTGGTAGCAACGACGAAACCTTGCGCACTGGTCAAGGAGCAGAAGTTTGTCTCCAGCCCTGCAGTTCAAGGAGGTAGAAATGTTTTAAAAAATCAGCTTCTTGGTAGAAAGGCCAATAACCCACTTTTCCTCAAACACCCTCTGCTGCCCAGTTGATTAGGAAGTTCTTTGTTACTTAGGAAGGTGGAACAAGAGAACTAGTGCCCTGTATGATTTGACCTAAATCAGAGGTGTAGAATTGAGGCGGTATGGCTACATTTCACACCCCGACCCTCCAAATCTTGAAGAAATAAAGTCAAGTTTCCTGAAGAATGCCCCTGAAGGAATAAAGTCAAGTTTCCAAGTCACACTCAACTCCTGGTAACTACATGGACATTTAGTTTATCACTGCCTTCTTCTTCAATGTATCTGAATTTCCCAATCTAGCCTAGAGTCCTTGGATTTCCAATTATCTCCCATCCAAATACTAACCAGACCTGATGCTAAATAGCTTTCAAGCCCAACCCAGATAAGATCAGCCTATTTAGCAAATAGTCATCTTAAAGTGACAGAAGGGAAGAATGATTTTAGCAGAGAATGGGGAGTGATGGTATCAACATTGCTTAGCTTAAACTAAACTTAAATGCAAATTAAATTAAATTTAGCTTTGTCCTGACACTATCTGCTTTTTGGAACACTGCCCCCAGCATGCACCCTGAATCAATGACCCAGGGGAAAAAAAGCGGGTATTGCTGACTTAAATAACATCTCTTTAGGATTTCAGAGACTCGGTACTAGACACAGCAGTCAACCTCAAGCTCATCCATATTTATATAAAACCCTTGCGGCTAACAACCCTCACTTCCCCACAACTCCTGCATAATTACCAATTATGGTAATGCAATGTCTGTAACCTAAAAGCAGCTCAGAGAGCTCTAACTACACAACCACCCACAGAGGAGACTGCAAGGCATGGTCAAAGCGAGCTGCAGTTAATGGAAGGGGATGCCTTTTCATAAAATGACTTAGGCTGAAAAAGTGCTACCAGACTCCTCCTAATGTAAGGCAAAGAGGGTGAGAACAAATGCTCTAAAAACATTTTTAACCATTTCCCACCACCACCACTTTCTTACTGATTTTATGGGGCTTTTGCAGAAATTCCCCCCAAAGGGAAGCAAGACATTTGTATCAGTGTCCACTGCATCCAGAAGGGATGAAAGGAAGGGCAATGGCATTCTTCCCCACCTGCATCTTCCATTTCAGAAATCCAAGCATTTATCCCAGACTTCAGATGGTTAGTCTGAGCCAAAGATGGGAGAGAGTAGGTTCTCTGGATGAATCCTTACTGTTTGAAGAGCTTCTCTTCGTAATCCCGTTGCCGCTTCAGCCTTGCGCTTTTCCGCCAGTCCTCTTGCATAGCCAAGTTCATCTGGAAGATCTTCTCCATTCTCTCACTTTTCTCTGCCATCCACCTAGAAGAATATCAAGAGGCCTTTAGGACAAGCAGAACAGGTCCATCAATGTCCTGCTTTGCCTCTTTGCCTGCTTCCAGCTTGGGGGAGGGAGTGGTAATTTAAAGACCACCAGGGGGGTGGTAAATTAATTGAAAAGAAGCTGATTCAAGGTGAACAAGGAGTAAGGTATCAATGAAATCAAACTCCCTGTTTGAATGGATTTGGATTGACTTGTCTTCGATGAGATATAAGTTCTAGTAGTTATACAATGTTATCTCTACATACAAATGAGCATTACAAATGTATGCATATTCATTGGCTCTACACACCACCATCACCACACATTGTCAACCACACATAAGTGGATATCCTACCAGTAGGAAATGCACCAGGAGACTTTCTTTTACTGATTTTAACCAACGTGTGTAATCTGGAGGTCCTTATGGACTTCCATTGGAACAGCAGGTAGAAGCAGTAGCCAGAAGTGCCTTTGCCCAGCTTTAGCTGATGCATCAGTTGTGACCAGGATGCTGATTACAATTACTCATGCCATTGTCACCTCCCAGGTGTTCTGCTGTAATGCACTCTACATGAGACTGCCCTTGAAGACCACCTGAAAACTGCAACTAGGGCAAAATGCAGTGGACCACAAATTCACAAGAACAGTCTGGTATTGTCCTGTAACACCAACATTGTGGGAGATGTATTGGTTGCCAGTTTGTTTCAAGGTCCTGGAGATCACCTTTAAAATCCTCCATGGCTTGAAGCCTGGCTATCTTCCATCCACCTACTCCAAGTCAAATCTGCCCTTCCAAGGTGCGTCTTGGGAGAGCTCTTGCTGGAGGAGAAATTTTCTGGCACTTTGATGGGCTGCCATTCCCATTTCATCACAATCCATCTGGAGCATGTCCAGAGTGGGACACCTTGTTAAGAAGCATAACCACCCACCCAGTACCCTAACCTGTCAGAGTAGCTCAATCTTGTCAGAAAAACTTCCACACAGCAATTTCCATCTTACTGTTTCTTAGCCCTTTGAATCATCTCTGCAGCTCTCCTCTGATCCACCAGCTGGTTGAGAATGGCTGTTCGCTTCCGGTCTGCAGCTGCCTGCAACTGGGACTTAGAATATTCCCGAGCACGCTGCCTCCTTTCCTCCATTTTCTCTTCATTCATGTCGTTCTTCCCAAAAATGGCCTCTGTTGAATCAGGTACATATTCAGGCAAGGGAGTAGGTTTTAACTTTACCTATGTGCAAATGGGAGAGGAAACTTAAATCAGAAAAGGTGCTTCACTCACAGCAATTCATTCTTAGCCTCATTTCAAATTTGCTTGTTACAAGTGTTGGGAGAAATGCATAAATATCCAGATTCATGAGATTCTGAAAAATATGTCCACAGGTACAGATTTTGCTAACTGCAGATAAGATGGGATATGTCCCCATTTAGATACAAGAGCCTATCTGACCAAGGGCAGGAACTTACTCTAAAACTGATGAGAGACCTTCAACACCCTTGACTCCACCTGGTGGGAGAAGGGGGTGTAGTCAGACTGGGCAACAGCCCCCAGAGACATTTGGCCCAACAGTAGGGATGGCCCTGCATCTTTATTGCTATGCTACAGTTGTACAAAACATGGCCAACTGTATCTTCCCAAGCCTCATACACACACAAAAAGTGACATAAGCACCCATCTTGTCTCTCTGTACACAAAAGGACAAAATGTCTGTAATGATCCTTGGCATAATAAATGCTAGGGGGAAACTAAAATCAAATTAAAAGTCACAGAAAGGGGTATTGAAAAATTATGAACTAAATCTCTGCATTTTCCAATCACCCCCAAAATTCAAACTCTGTTGTTAGCCTTTCGAGGTAGTCCAGACAGGAAGCACAACAATGAATACTAGCTCTATCTTTATTGTAAGGTTACATTAACAGAATCTTGCAAGTCTGGAAGTACCTCTCCTGTTCTGTACTTTTGCTCTCCAAAAACTAGGGAGGGTCCCTTTTGAAAGGCTTCCCACGTGCCCTCTCCTTCTATGGACTGAGGTATCTTTTACATCCCAGTTGTCCAGTCTGCAGCTCTTCCTCCTGTCTCCCAAGGTCGTTCCTTCATATCATTACAGCTGTTAGCATTTTATGAATGCCTTAAATGTTGTTAATAAGAATTTTAAGGAAGTAGATGATGGAGCTAGTTATATCAGCCTTCCTTAATCTAGCATGTTCTGGATTTGGCAGACTACAAGTACCATCTGTTAACACCTTGCCAGAACTAAATCTGCCCA